CTTTGATGGTATTTTTATCCTCTGAAGCTCAAGATTGAAAGCACAAAAGGACATTCTTAAGAGGCAACTGTCTGTATTTTTCCAGGAAGCACAGCGACGTATTATTGGAACAGCTCATTATTTCAGGATCAGGTTGTCGTCATCTGCCATGTAATCTTTTCTCAACACAAAGAAAGACTCGTAATAATTGGCTTGTGTTTGTCATCCATTTCATTTCTTTCTTTTTTTTCCTCCCAGTCAAGTGTTTTTTCTTCTCCAGTCTAATCGTAACTGGCATAAAAGACCAGTTTCACTTGAATGTAAATTGTATTTATGGTGAGAGGGCGCAGAGTGTTTATATAAACATACATTAAAACAGCCATGATGATATAAAACATTTGTAGGTGTTTGGAATGTTTACTCATAGCGTAAAGAAACTCGATGACAATGGCACTAACTGGAATAATTTCAATTTTGACTTTTGAAACTACTTAGTGTTTTTATAGTTGTAACAAATGATGAGTAGGACAGGAGGATGTAAGCTTCAGAGGCGGATTACAAGAGAGGTCAAGTTTTACCCAAAGGCTTTCTACCGTAACACAAAATCGAAATTAAAGACAAGTGTAGGCGTATCAGACCTGACTACTTGAAGATGTTAGTTACACAGACTCAAATCAGGACAAGACGGAGGCAATAAATGAAATCTTTCCTCATTGTTCACAAGAGAGGATGCGAACAATCTCCCTGTGTTTGAGGAAAGACAGTTTGATACAGTGTTGACGCATATGTCCCCAAGAGAAAGTATTAGAAATAAATTGTCAAAGCTAAAGGTTCATAAGAGCTCCGGCCCTGATTGCATCCCAGAGTGCTAAGGGCTTGCTGAGTCCCTTAAGATCCTGTTCTGGTGATGCATGGACGAGCAAAGGATCCCCAAAAGCGCCCAAAAGATCCTATGTTTTAACAAGGTGATGGCCACGGTACGGGTAATTATAGGCCGGTGACCTTAACCAGCATAGTGTGTAAAGTACTAGAGTATTATAGTGGGGAGGGAAGAAGGGAAGGAGGAAGAGAGGGAGAGGAGGAAGGGACAGGAGGAAAGGAGGAAGAGAGGGAAGAAGGAAGGGAAGAAGAGAGGGAAGGAGAAGAGGAAGGGAGGGAGGAAGGTAGAGAAGGAAGGGGAGAGGGAGGGATGGAAAGAGGGAGAAAGCGAGGGAGAGGAAGGAAGACGGAAGGAAAGGAGGAAGGAAAGAACAAAGGGATAGGAGGAAGAGAAAGAAGGGAGAGAAGGGAGGAAGGGCGAGAAGGAGGGAGGGAAGGAAGGAGAATCTCGTGGTTTATTTACGGTGATGGCTGTGAGCTCTCCAGGCCATCGAGGGATTACCTGGGGTTACCTGAGAGCGATTTACAATGATTTGGTTGAATGACTGAGAGGAGCGGGAGGAAAGGTCGCCATTTTTCTGGAGGTCCGTGATTTACGAGTGACACATGACACGTACACAAGGACCCATAACACGTACACGACGACACAACACGAACACAAAGCCACAACACGTACACAACTACTCATAAAACGTACAAAAGGCCGCATAACTCGATCTCAAGGTCACATAACACGTGCACAAGCCACAACGACACTTAACACGTAAACAAGGCTACGGACACAAGATCACAAACTAATAGCAACAAAAACTATTACCGGCTAGTGTAAACAAAGTCATTATCTTGATTTAGAGAACATAAACTCCTTAGAAACCGACGGCTGAAGAAACCACGAAAGAATAACAATGGGAGTACAGGTTTCTATATAGGATCTAGCTAATTAATGATGGTCTTCTACAGGTATTTCTACAGGTAACGGCAGGTGAAGTTTCTACAGAAGTTATAGCTAATTAATCTAGGTTTTCTATTTATGCAGGTAACCCCATCAAGGACTCGACTACAATAGGTCTGCCACTAGCTGAAACGACCATCATAGCTATTAGAAACTAGCCAGTCTAGCACAAGCCCAAGCAACACATAAGAAACTAGCACAACTAACTAACGCCACCATCCCAAGCTAAGATTAATTAGCTAGTTGGAGGCACCACAAGTACTAATAGCAAACCACTAGCAGTATAACTATATGACTTACAACTATCGTCACCACAATAGTTACTTGTATACAACCATTTACTAGTAGGTGTACAATTACCACAATAACAACATTTAATAGCAAACAACTTGTCGCTAGTATATGAACAACAATCACAAATACAACAGTTAAATAGCACACTAGCCACCTGTATTAATAAAACTACAACAAATACAACAGTTAAATAGAACTACAATAACTACAAGATCTAATAGCACACTAGCTACCTGTACTAATAAGCAGCAGCAGTTAGGTGGGGTGATGGGCGTGTTACTTACGGGTGGTGTAGTGGGTGGGGGCGGGTAGTGGGCGGGGTCAGTAAGTTCTGGGGGCGGGGCAGGGAAGTCACCGCCCACAGACACACACTCAGACTCTGTTATGGCGGCCTCTACTACTGCAGCGCCTGACACAGTAGCCTTCTCCTGGGTCTGCTCTTCCTGTTTGAGGGAGGAGGGGGGTCACTACGGTGTGTGTGTGTGTGTGTGTGTGTGTGTGTGTAGAAGGTGTGTGGTGTATGAGGGTGTGTGTGTGTGTGTGTGTGTGTGTAGAAGGTGTGTGTGTGTGTGTGTGTGTGTGTGTGTGTGTGTGTAGAAGGTGTGGTATGGGAGGTGTGTGTGGTGTGTGTGTGTGTGTGGGAAAGGTGTGTGTAGGTGGGTGGTAGGTGTGTGAAGGTGTGGTAGGTAGTGTGTGTGCTCACCATGTACTGTACATATGTATTAACCAACCAACATGATGTTAATACCACTTTACTACTAAAACACACACACACACACACACACACACACACACACACACACACACACACACACACACACACACACACACACACCACCACACCCACACACACACACACACTCACACACACCTGCACCCACACACACACACACACACACACACACACACCTGCACCCACACACACAGACACACATGCACCACACACACACACACACACACACCTGCACCCACCCATCACACACACACACACACACACACACACACACTCTCTCTCTCTTTCTACACACACATACACACCTGCTACCCACTCCACACACACACACACACACACACAAGTAAGTTAACAGGTGTTGTAAGTAAGTTATCAAGAGACAGGTGCATATGGCTACACATGCTCAACACTCACTCATTCTCGGGGCGCCACCAGATGCAATTAATTATATACCACTCAGGTGATCAGAACAGGTGTAATTACTCTATATATCTATTCAAAATACGTGGAAGGCTGCTGCTACTACTCTCGCATCACTAATGTTACTTATTACTCATTAAACTCTAAATATATCTACATAATTATCATCAAAAAGGCATCATACATAACGTTTGTAGGATATACTTACCTGAGTTAATGAGTCTCTGTACAAACTCGCATATAAATAGTGAATTCTGGGCCGCCTGGACCTGACATTATTACCATATTTATTCATAAGCGTCAGATGGATTTACTATAACATGTTAACTTACCTTACAAATGTTGAAATATAACAAGATTAACAAATTAACTGCCTATCTTGTCATCTTCAACTTACATCATCACAAATTAACACAGTATATTATTTTTTTAAGAGACATTGTTTACACTGTCACCCTTTTGGTATGTTTCTCCTCGTTCCAATAATGTCTGTCTGGTCTCCCTCAAGCTATCACCCTTCTCATTACTACGTCCCTCTCCCCTCTCTCTCTCTCTCTCTCTTGTTCACCCTTCTACTGGTATATCACATTTCCTTTTATCTTTACACTCTTACACACATTCTCTCTCTCTCTCTCTTCCTTCCTTTCTTTCTTTTCTTATTTTCTCTCTCCTTTCCTTCCTCTCTTTTCTTCTTTTATCTCTCTTCTTTTCCTTCCTTCTCTCTCTCTCTCACTTCCTTCCTCTCTCTCTTCCTTTCTTCTTTCTCCCCATTAGTAAGTTCCTTCAGCCCTACCCTAATCCCTCTATCTCTCTACACCTTATGAGAGACAGAGAGACACCCACCTTATGAGAGACAGAGAGACACCCACCTTATGAGAGACAGAGAGACACCTACCTTATGAGAGACAGAGAGACACCTACCTTATGAGAGACAGAGAGACACCTACCTTATGAGAGACAGAGAGACACCTACCTTATGAGAGACAGAGAGACACCTACCTTATGAGAGACAGAGAGACACCTACCTTATGAGAGACAGAGAGACACCTACCTTATGAGAGACAGAGAGACACCTACCTTATGAGAGACAGAGGGACACCACCTTATGAGAGACAGAGAGACACTTACCTTATGAGAGACAGAGAGACACCTACCTTATGAGAGACAGAGAGAGAGACACCCTACCTTATGAGAGACAGAGACACCCACCTTATGAGAGACAGAGAGACACCTACCTTATGAGAGACAGACACCTACCTTATGAGAGACAGAGAGACACCTACCTTATGAGAGACAGAGAGACACTTACCTTATGAGAGACAGAGAGACACCCCACCTTATGAGAGACAGAGAGACACCCACCTTATGAGAGACAGAGAGACACTCTACCTTATGAGAGTGAGAGACACCTACCTTATGAGAGACAGAGAGACACTTACCTTATGAGAGACAGAGACACCTACCTTATGAGAGACAGAGAGACACTTACCTTATGAGAGACAGAGACACCTACCTTATGAGAGACAGAGGGACACCTACCTTATGAGAGACAGAGACACCTACCTTATGAGAGACAGAGAGACACCTACCTTATGAGAGACAGAGACACCTACCTTATGAGAGACAGAGAGACACTTACCTTATGAGAGACAGAGGGACACTTACCTTATGAGAGACAGAGAGACACTTACCTTATGAGAGACAGAGAGACACTTACCTTATGAGAGACAGAGAGACACTTACCTTATGAGACAGCCTCCTGGTGGGCCCCGGGAAAGAGACATCTCTTAGCCTGGCGTAATCCCCGTCACTGTCCGAGGTTTCCGATTCAGAGAGATTGTGAAGTACGTCGGGGCAGTGACCACCTCGCCCGGAGTCACGCTTCCTGTGGGCGAGTCACATCTCTTGTATAGTGCCGGCTACTGGCTACTGAAGGGGGGGGGGGGGGCGGAGAGTGAGGGATGATGAAGAGGGAGATAGATAGGGGGTGTAGGGGGGGAAGGGGGGATGATAAGAGCAACTGAGGAGAGAAAGAGAGAGACGGAGGGATGGGGGATAGGAAGGTGGAATGGAGAGACGGGGGAGAGGAGGGAGGAGGGTGACAGGAAGGACACTAGTATTTATAACATGTAGTGTGAGACCAGGAAGGAAGAATTCTCAGTTGTGTCAGGTTGAGAAATGGTTATTTGACACACACATACACACACACACACACACACACACGCGCACACACGCACACACACACACACGCACACACACACACACACACACACACACACACACACACACACATTGTTAATATTTCTCATAAGGTAAAACAAAATTACTTCACTTCAGTTAACACACAAACGACCCAAAATACCATCAGAATTGCACTAAAAACCTGATTATAATGTGTGTTTGTGTGGTGTTTTACTGGCGACTTAACAAACAACAATAATTTAATTGCATATCCAACAAAACGAAAAAAAAAAGTTTGTTAACATTTTTCTACGAACGAAACAATTTGTGGGTTTTTTAAATGTTCGCCAAAAGATTATTGTTATTCACAGGAAACTTTTTTGTTGTTGTTGTTGTTGAACTGTCCAATTAGTGACCACCACAACAGTCGTCCTCTACTGGGATAACTTCACCCTTAGTAAAAAACCAACACGACATTAATGACGTATTACTGAGTCACTTATGGTTGACATCCTGCCCCGAAGCCATCATGACGTCAGAGTATTGTTGGATGTCTATTGGCTACGGCACATCATCCTCGGTAGCTTCATTGGTGGAGGGTCGGCGGCTTATTGGTGGAGGATGATTGGCTAGAGGGAGGGATGTACGTCACAGAATTCCTCAACTCTTATTGGTGGGGGATGAGCGTCGGCAACGTCACTAATCTTCCTTGGCGGCTTATTGGTGGAGGATGAGTGGCTGACGGGTGTACGTCACAGAATTCCTCAACTCTCATTGGAGGAAACTTGGAGTTTGACTTATGACCAGAGGCGGACGGTGACTAATGCACCAGTTTTATACATGCATTACGCTAATTGACCTCACCATGTTCATCTCCCTGCCTCTTCTCTGCTGTGTCTTCCTCCCTTCCTCTCACCACCTCTCTTCTTCTACTCCCCCCCCCCCTGCATCACCACTACCCCCATTAACTAATAACTCACTGCCACTCTCTCTGGTCTGGCGAATTTGTCAACATCCTCCTTTCTATCACCCCCTACCCTCATTCTCCCTCTCACTCCTTCTCTCCCTCCCTCACCCTTCCTCTATCACTTTCTCCTCTCTCTCTCCAACGATAATGTGTGCGTGTGGATTTATCCGTCCAGTGGGCAGTCTTATAATAAAAAACAAAACAAAAAAAACACGAACTGGTCACCCCCGCTGTTGTGACAAATGACGTCACGAATGTAAACAAACGCCCTGGGATAATCCGCGGCGCTGCGTTCTGTTTTTTCTAGTTTAACAACGTCAATTACTGCCTATAAAAAAACATAATTACAACGGAATAAAACTCTAGTAAATATTACGATAAAAACTGTACGGAATATTTTTTTTATTACTGGTTTGTGAGGAATACTGTATCTTAGAGTTATCCTCCCTACCGATCGTCTTTTGTTTTTTGGTCGACTGTCAACTTTTTCAGGATAATACGTTTTGATTGGCCAGTTGGATGCTCCTATCCTTTATCATTTTGAAACTAACAAAAGACAAAGATAAAAATAAATCAACTTGAAATATAAATGATAAAATAAATGAATATAGAACCATGAAATATAAATAATAAAGTTTTTTCGTTATTGTGCGGTTTTCTTTTGTTTTGGTTTGAGAGTTTATATTTGTGACGTTTTCGCCCTCTATTATCTCCCATGATTTATCACCCTACTGTCTGTCCTGTAATTTACTGCACCATGCTGTTGATTCACATATTTGTTTTTTATTATTGTTTTTTTATGTAGGAATGCCATGATTAATTCTCTCTGACTCTTCTCTCCCATTCTTTCTCAATCTCTCGTAGTATCGTACCAGCAGCACACTCAGTCAAGTCAGAGAACGGGTTATAACTCTACTGTGTTCTCGCGCCACATTTCACTATATCCGCCCACATTCACTCGTACGCCTTATAATGTTGAACGTGGTTTATACTGTTTCTTCATTATTATTATTATTATTATTATTATTATTATTATTATTATTATTATTATTATTATTATTATTATTATCATTATTATTATTATTATTATTATTATTATTATTATTATTATTATTATTATTATTATTATTATTAAATGAAGATAAATAGAAGAGAAATAAGATAACGAATAAAAATAATAACTCAGAATATAGAGAAAGGTAAGAATAATCACAGCGTCAAAAGAGAGAAAACAACAATAATTAAGCATCAAGAGTAAAAGGGACATATACGCCAAATCACAGCAGGAAGACGGTAAATAAGGCCGCATAAACCCTCCATAACGAAGGGGGACATAAACCTTATTGAGTGCCAAAATCCCATCGGTAAAAAAAAATAAGGGGACAAAAATAAGGAAATCCGTAAGTCATTCTGAGGTAGGCGATGGAAGTCTTTGTGTGCGCCAGGTGAAGATGAGACACGTTCCAACAACAACCCTGAGCCGATCCAAGGAGGCTGCGGGGAATAATGATCAGTGTGGGGGTATTTATTTTCTCCCCACAAGATCACTTTTTCCCCCAACATTATTTATTTTCTCCCCCAGATTATTTATTTTCTCCCCACCATGTCACTTTCTCCCCCACATTAATTACTTTCTCCCCACACCACCACTTCCGCACAATATCACTAACACACACACACACACACACACACACACTACGGAAATTAAATTACACTGAAACACGTGCACACATCAACACCCGAGAAACGACATCGTTGAGAAGACATTTACACCCAAACTGTGGTACATGGGGGGCAGAGGGCGATAGAAGCGAGAGGGGCCATGGGGGGGGGCAGGAGGGGGGTAGGACACTGCCAACGAGGTGACGATATAGACAGTACAGCGTGTTGTAGTCCCGACTTTGTGTGTGTGTGTAGCTTCATAAACTACTGTACTATCGCCTGCATATAATCCATCGTCCCATAAAAAATAAAACAAATTCATGTTTTACTTACGTTAGTCTCTGAATAAAATAATTACCCAGATTGATATAATTAGTTACTTATTAATAGATGGTACTGAAAAATGTATTACTGTCCAATGTGCTATCGGGTTTAACACATGCGCTCATAATGTGTTCTGTCAACCGTGGTATTAACAGTCCACACACACACACACACACACACAGAGGAGGCAGTATCGTCGTACCTGGAGGTGGAGGGAGTGTCGTTGAAGGTGACCTTGTGCTTCACGCCAGGGGAATGCTTCCTCTTGCTCCACGACCCACCACCTCCTGGAGGAGGCTTAGGGCGTAGCCAGTAGATCTCCTCCTCCTCCCCGCGAGCCTGAAGGAGGGAGAAAAGGGTGAGGGGAAGTATGTTAGTATGTTGTGTATGAGAGATTGAGAAGAAGAATGCTATTATGGTATATGACAGACAGGTAAGACAGACAGGTAAAACAGACAGGTAAGACAGACAGGTAAAACAGACAGACACTTACCTTCTTCTGGGTGACGGTGTGCATGAGGAGCTTCATTAGGGAGCGCTTGGGGCTTCCCTCCTGAAGAAGGTAGGTCTTACCTGCCCCAATCACCATCACTGGGCCCTCTGTCTCCTCGATCTGTAGGGGAGAGCCAAGACCAGTGTGTTTACCTTGATGTGTAGGTGGTCACACACACACACACACACACACACACACACACACACACACACACACACACACACACACACACACATCTCTACCCCAGTACCCACCTGCCGGGAGAGCTGCACCTCATTCACCAGCCTGATGGAGTGGGTGCTGGTGACGATGGTCTTGGAGATCTGCACCCGTAGCTTAAAGTGCCACCGAGACTGTCAACAAACACACATTAGTCAACACAGAAACAATAAAGATTAATATTAATTTTAGAAGATGAGAAGACTATAGTACCTCAAATACATAAGTCTGTAGTGAAATTACAAAATATAATACAAAATACAGAATTATGTTATATTGTATTTTTGGTAGAGTTTAGGAAGAGTTTGTATAGTATTGAATGATAAAGTGGTATTTTCTAACATTGCCATCCTTTTTACCTGTACTCTGCCACCCTGCCACCATTTTCACCCCTCCTACCCTGCCACCCTTCTTTCCCACCCCTACCACCACCTGCCACCACCTCTCCCCTGGCTAGACTGGTGGGCTTCAACGCCGCCTGCCTAAACTCATGTCAACAATAGTCACCTTTAAGTCACCAGTGGCTGAGTTTACCCTGACAGACAGACACACACGACTGTCTCTCACCCAACACAAACTCTGACTTACACTGACTCTCACTGACTCACACAGCAGGCACTGACTATTATATCCACACACTGCTGATATATAATTAATCTGCTTATCTGACTCACGTGCCAGAGTCTAATTACCATATCTACTGTACACAATGATGAAGAACTCTGCTTAATCTGCTTAATTCTGATTTATTCTGCTTAATTTGACACATACAGTAGGTGATTGCATATTGTGCCTCCCTCCCTCTTTCCTCCCTTTGTGTTTCATTCCTTCCTTCCTTCCCTCGCTTTCTTCCTTACCCCCTCTTTTTCTCCCTCCCTCACTCTTTCCCATCTTCTCTCTCTCTCTCTCTCTCACCCACCCTCCAACCCACCCCACCACCCACCCTCACCTTGATAGTAAGAGCCATCCACAGCAGTATCCACAAGAAGAGGTGGGTGATGGTAGCGATAGTAGCGGCCAGAACAGAGGTATCTAGGGACGCCCGATACACCACAGTCCAGTCGTGTACAAGAGGGGAGGCGGCGGCGGTCATCAACACCAGCACTGTCAGCCCCCAGCAGTGTGGCCAGTAGCTCCAGGGTGTCTGTCAGCCATATAGGTAGTCATTTAGACATACAGGTATACCCGTACGTCACACACACAGGTATATATTAGATATTTAGCCATACAGGTATACTACAGACATACTGGTTTATATCAGACATTTAGACATATATGTATGCTTCAGGGATACAGGTATACTTCAGACATTTAGCCACACATGTATACTACAGGCATACAGGTATACATTAGACATTTAGATATACAGATAACAGGTATATATTAGTCATACAGTTATCCATAAGACATTTAGGTATAAATTACACATACAAGTATACTTCAGATATACAGGTATATATTATACAGGTATACATTAGTCATACAGGTATACATAATTAAGCCACACAGGTAATATCACTAAACACCTGAGAAACAAGACGATAATTAAGAGTATGCCATTATTACTGTCTGGGGGGGAGGCAGGAGGGAGGGAAGGAAAGAAGGAGGGTTGGAGGAAGGAAAGAGGAGAGAAAGAGAGAGGGAGGGAGGGAGGGAGGAGTCAGTATAGGGGTGCACCAAGCTTGGGATAATAGACTTGTGTTGTCATAGTAAATAGCTTGTCTGATCACCTCCCTCCCCCTCTCTCTCTCCTGATCACCTCTTCCCTCTCTCTCACCCCCTCCTCTAGCTCTTTCACACACACACACACACACACACACACACACACACACACACACACACACACACACACACACACACACACTAAGCATCAATAACTCATTAATGACATTAGTAACAATTAGCTCCATCTGTTAACCACAAACTTCCTCTAACTTCCAGATTGAGGACAACCAATCAACTTCCTCCGTGGCTCAACTGCTGAACGCTAATTGGTGGTACAGTGAGCGTCGTTCAAGTTTCCAAACAGCCAATCAAATTACGCCATGAAATCGGTGCTGCGAATTAATTGGTGGACTTTCCTCTCCTCCCTCCAGCCGTTGAAGATCTTGAATGGCCAACTAACTTCCGGTGTAAGCTTCAGGTGTGTTGTGTCAGTTGGTCCACACCTGTGACAATTTAGGCCCCTGGAGTTCACCTGAAGATTAGACACCCTAGCTTATCTCACCTGAATATTAATCACCCCAACTCTAACCTAACGTAACTTAACATAACTTAATCTAATTTAACCTAACCTAATCTAACCTTAAGATTAACCACATTCACATTAACCTAACCTAACCGAACCTAGCCTAGCTTAACCTAACCCAACCAAATCTAAACAAATCTAACGTAATCTGACCTAACTTAACCTAATCTAACCCCTAGACAGCACTGGGACGTCTAATCTTCAGGTGAACAGAACAATCCTCGACGACGCTGACGGCTGATTGGCTGTTGTACCCTGATGGTCTTAACACCCTGCCAACCAGCCAATCAACTCACGCCAAAGTCCAGCTGGTGGAAGCTAATTGGTGGAAATACTAGCCAATAATCTGAAGGTTACTTGAAGTGGCTATCAGTGTACGAGGCTAAGTACCTGGGTGGGGGGAGGGGGAGGGAGGCCTCACTGAACGTCTGAAGATGGGAGAGAAGGTGGGGGGAGGAGGGGGAGAGAGGAGAGGGGAGGGGAGGCTATTTTTTTAAGGTAGGGAGGAGAGAGGAGGATGGCGAGGTGGAAAGGGAGGAGGAGGGTGAAAGGAAGAATGGGAAGGGAGTCTTTTAAAGTGGGGAGGAGAAGGAGGAGAAGGAAGGAGAAGGGGATAGGGGATTCTGTCAAAATGGGGAGGAGGGGAAATTTCTGCTTACGTGTCTGGAGGTCTATTGGGGAAGCTATAGTGACACACACACACACACACACACACACACACACACACACACACACACACACACACACACACACACACACACACACACACACACACACACACACACACACACACACACACACACACACACACACATACAAACACACACTCACCTCATGACCGTGCTTGCTCAAGATATGGTACTTCTCCTTCTCGGCGTTGAGGAAGGCGTTGAACTTGAGGAAGCCGTAGAGGTAGAGCACAGACCCTGAGGCCAGCACCAGCGCCTGCCATGCCGTGAACACCGCCACACACACCGCCAGGGGCAGCACAAACCCGTCGAACACTGGCAGCACGTGATCAGGTCCAGCCACGTGAACCTTGTACAGCACCTGCAGAAGGGGTGTACGTATGAGTGGGGTGAGTGTACGTGTGAGTGGGGAGGGTGTATGTGTGAGTGGGGAGGGTGTATGTGTGAGTGGGGTGAGTGTACGTGTGAGTGGGGTGAGTGTACGTGTGAGTGGGGTGAGTGTACGTGTGAGTGGGGAAGGTGTACGTGTGAGTGGGGAGGGTGTACGAGTGAGTGGGGAGGGTGTACGTGTGAGTGGGGAGGGTGTTCTTGTGAGTGGGGAGGGTGTGCACGGGGGAATGTATACAAAAGTGGGCAATATACGCACACGGGGGCTATATACACACACACGGGGGCAATATACACACACACGGGGGCAATATACACACACAGGGGGGGCAATATACGCACACAGGAGACAACATACGCAGACAGGATACACGAATTACGCTCACAAAACTCCTGTGTGTACCAACAAACACAAACAAACACACACACAGCTTCTAGTTTATTTACCTTGGACTTTAGAGCAAGAAGGACACACACACACAGATTACGTTCTTTCGTTGTTAAAATAATGACAAGTGATGTTAAGTTTCATGTTAAATACAACAGCAGGAATTAAAAGCTTGTTAAATGATGTTATATTAATTTAACATGAGAGACGTATATACTCAGGTTAATAATGTTAAAAGTTTGTTGAATACACACTGAGGCATAGACAGACATACAGACAGACATACAGACAGACAGACAGACAGACAGAAGGGCACACAGACTAGCTTTCTGCCTAAATTCTTCCAGCTACGGAAACTTCTGGCGCACAAAATCTCCAATGACCAAGAAACTTCTGACGCACAAAATTTACGAGGCCCAAAAAAACTCCTGGCGCACGACCCCTAAAAACACACAAAGTTTTACACACACAAAAAAAAAAATAATTTCCTGATAAACTCTAGAAATGACAAGACTTTAGTTTCCTCAAAAAGTACATACTGTATTTTGTTTTAAATTGAGAAATATGACAAAAATAACAATAGACTTTTATTAAGACTATTGTAACACGTAAAGAAAAATAATAACAAAAGCTAAAAACCCCGGTCAATCATACACAGGGATAGGTATATAAACACTAATTACAAACACTTTACCTGGAAGCCGTTGATGGCAAAGATGCTCTGAGCGGCGTTGAGGAGGAGCTGGGTGAAGAAGACCAAGCCCAGGCCCTTATTGGTGCCCCAGAAGACACCAGCGTACCTGACGAAGGAACACAACAACCTGGTATTACGAGTTGGGTTAGGTTAGGTTAGCGTTGGGGTAGGTTGGGTTAGGTTAGGTTGAGATCGTAATTAAAGAGCCTTTTATCTTACACACAGACACCACAGCACTATACATCACAGCACCACACAGCACAGCACCACACAGCACTATACATCACAGCACCACACATCACAGCACCACACAGCACTATACATCACAGCACCACACATCACAGCACCACACGTCACTACACAGCACAGTAACACAGCACAGCACCACACAGCACTATACATCACAGCACCACACATCACAGCACCACACAGCACTATACATCACAGCAATAAAATATTAAGCTGTTACGTGTACAGCGTGTGGGTGACCTCTCTCTCTCTCTCTACCAGGGCCCCTCATTGGACAGGTTAGTAGATGAGAGTATCAATCTCCCTCTCTATCTCTCGCTGTCTCTCTCTTTAACCTCCCTTCTCTCCCTCGCTGTCTTTCTCTCTTTTTCTCTCTCCTTATCCACCTCCCTCCCTATCTTTCCTCACCCTTCCCACTCTTCCCCCTCCCTCCCAATCTTTCCTCACCCTTCCCACTCTTCCCCTCCCTCCCTATCTTTCCTCACCCTTCCCACTCTTCCCCCTCCCTCCCTATCTTTCCTCACCCTTCCCACTCTTCCCCCTCCCTCCTACTATCCCTACCAATCTCCCCTCTCCCCTCCCCTCCCTCTCTCCCCTTCTACCTGTGCCTCACCTGCCGGCGTAGATAAGGTGAGCGAGGAGGTAGTTGAGGAAGTGGGGAGTAAAGGGACCCCAAGGTATCTCTCCAACATGCCAAAGGTCTTCGTCTTCCTCCCTATCCTCAAGCGTCACCTCAGCTGCCTGGAAGGTTACTGACGTCGAGGCTTCATACCGTGCTGCTGCCGGGCCTGTGGGTGTGGGTTATGGGTACGTGGGTGTGGGTGGTTGTGGGTTATAGGTGGGTGTGGTTATGGGTTGGATGTGGGTTGTGGGTGGGTGTGGGTTGTGGTGGGTGTGGGTGTGGTGGGTGGCTGGGTGTGGTTATAGGTGGGTGTGGTTATGGGTGGATGTGGGTTGTGGGTGGGTGTGGGTTGTGGGTGGATGGGCTGGATGGGTGTGGTGTGTGGAGTGGTGGGTGTGGCTAGGGTGGTGTGTGGGTTGTGGGTGGGTGTGGGTTATGGGTGGGTGTGGGTTGTGGGTGGGTGTGGGTTGTGGGTGGGTGTGGGTTATGGGTGGGTGTGGGTTATAGGTAGGTGTGAGTGTTAATATTTTACAACAGATAATAATTAAAGTCAATATTAACACTGATAATATACATTAGCATTTATGGGTAACATTAACATAGGCACTATATTAACTACTGGAGACTATATTAACATTACTGGCGATATTATGTAATGATCTTGTAAGGAATTTCTTTCATTTTAACATAATATTAACATAAATTAAGTTGAGGTTAAGGATTAACATAACAAAACGCTAATGTTAATAACTCTAGGATGAAGGAGTTTAAGTGTTAATATCTCTCTCTTTCTCTCTCTCTCACAATCTCACTCTCTCCCTCACCATCTCTCTCTCCCCTCACAGTCTCTCTCTCTCTCTCCCTCACCACCTCTCTCTCCCTCACCATCTCTCTCTGTCCTGCACAACCTCTTTCTCCCTCACCATCTCTCTCTCCCCTCACAGTCTCTCTCTCTCTCTCCCTCACCACCTCTCACTCCCTAACCATCTCTCTCTGTCCTGCACAACCTCTTTCTCCCTCACCTCCTCTCTCTCTCCCTCACCACCTCTCTCCCTCACCATCTCTCTCTCTCCCTCACCACCTCTCTCTCCCTCACCATCTTCCTCTCTCCCTCACCATCTCTCCCTCACCACCTCTCTCTCTCCCTCACCACCTCTCTCTCCTCTCTCTCTCTCCCTCCCACCACCTCTCTCTCCCTCACCACCTCTCTCTCTCACCCACCTCTCCTCCCCTCACCACCTCTCTCTCTCCCACCTTTCTCTCCTCACCATCTCTCTCTCCCTCACCACCACCTCTCTCTCCCTCACCACCTCTCTCTCCCCTCACCACTCTCTCTCTCCCCTCACCTCTCACCCCCTCACCACCTCTCCCCCCCCACCACCTCTCTCTCACCTCTCTCTCCCCTCCCACCTCTCTCTCCCACCCACCTCTCTCTCCTCACCACCTCTCTCTCCTCCCACCATCTCTCTCTCCTCACCACCTCTCTCCCCTCACCACCTCTCTCCCCCTCACCTCTCTCTCCCTCACCACCTCTCACTCCCTCACCACCTCTCACTCCCTCACCACCTCTCTCTCCCTCACCACTCTCTCCCCTCACCACCTCTCTCCCTCACCACACCTCTCTCCCCTCACCCACCTCTCTCTCCCTCACCACCCCTCTCTCTCCTCTCTCCTCACCACCTCTCTCACCACCTCTCTCTCCCTCACCACCTCTCTCTCCCTCACCACCTCTCTCTCCCTCACCATCTCTCTCTCTCCCTCACCACCTCTCTCTCCCTCACCACCTCTCTCTCCCTCACCACCTCTCACTCCCTCACCACCTCTCACTCCCTCACCATCTCCCTCTCTTCCTCACCTTACATAACCACTTTACCTCCTCATTAAGTCAGCCCTTCCCTCACTTCCTCGCTACACCCTCACAGGCTTATTAAGGTAATTACCTGTTGTTATGAGGTAGTGACTACACGGCGGGGTGCACCTACCTGGGGAGGGTGGGGAGGTGGTGTACTTACCTGGGGAGGGTGGGGAGGTGGTGTACTTACCTGGGAAGGGTGGGGAGGTGGTGTACTTACCTAGGGAGGGTGTGTACGTACCTGGGGAGGGTGGGGAGGTGGTGTCAGCAACAGTAGCCAAGAAGTTGAAGAAATTGAGCCGATCCTTTTGGGGTAATATCTTTGAGAGCTCCGACCCCCACACCGTACCTGTTGGAGGACCTGTAATTAGTACCTGGTGACCTGTGTTGATCTGTAATTAATACCTGGTGACTTGTGAGGACCTGTAATTAATACCTGGTGACTTGTGAGGGTCTGGGGTTAGTACCTGATTACCTGTGGGGACCTGGAGTTAGCCTAGTGACCTATAGGAACCTGGATTTAGCCTAGTGACCTGTAGGAAGCTGATATTGGTACCTGGTTACCTGTGATGACCTGTGAAGACCTTTTCTTTGTACCTGGGGAACTGTTTTACTACTTGGTGACCTGTGGGGACCTGTAATTTAGCACCTGTGTCGTTGGAATGTCTCTGTAGGTCAGTTAATCAGTCAGTCAGTCAGTCAGTCAGTCAGTCAGTCAGTCAGTAAATGCATTCATAAAGCTGATAACGCAACTCGTATAAGTAACCCTATCAGCTTTTCGTTTCCAATTCATTTCGTCGTATGTAAAAAAAAAAAATACAAAAAACGGCCCGATCTCCCGTCGTATCACCACTGTCGGACTGATTTACCCGTCAATTCCCGTCGATTCTGTCAAATTACGTCCCGTTTAAATCTGGATCAGTGTAGCCAGATCAGAGAGTGGTTGGACAAACAGTACGTGAAGAGAGACCCATTGGTAGGCTTGGTGGGGATCAGGGGGTGTGTTTGTTTAGTTATTATGGCAACACTGTAGGGGTGGGGAGCTCTCCTATGGGGGTGTGGGGGTCCTGGGGATAGGGGTAGTACTGTGGGGGCGTCTCCTGTGTGGGGTGTGAGGGTGGATGTGTTCTGGTGAAGCTGGCAGAATCAGCAACTTTCTCAGAGTTAGTGGTTTGAACACGGCCCTCTGTGGGTATGTATGGGAGGTGGGTCTCTCTCTCTCTCTCTCTCTCTCTCTCTCTCTCTCTCTCTCTCTCTCTCTCTCTCTCTCTCTCTCTCTCTCTTTCCATTTCACTTCTCTATCTCTCATCTATAATGTCTCTTTCCCTTTCTGTTTGTATGTATGTCTGCCTGTCTGTCCTAAATAAAATAAAAGTTCCACATACACACCCGAAAAACACACGTTCCACCACCGATCCTCTCCCTCAACATTTCTCTCTCCACCATCACCACCAACACCAACATTCTCCCCCAACACCCCTTTTCACCATCACCACCACCAATCCTCTCCCCTCACCACCACCAACCCTCTCCACCATCACCAACCCACTCCACCATCACCATCAACCTTCTCCCCTCACCACCACCAACCCTCTCCACCACCACCAACCCTCTACACCAACACCCCTCTCCACCATCACCAACCCACTCCACCATCACCATCAACCTTCTCCCCCACCACCACTAACCCTCTACACCAACACCCCTCTCCACCACCACCATCACAGTCCAAGCTTCTCCACCCAACATCCTCAAAAATAAAAACAGAAATCAATACAGACATTTACTGAGCGGGATATAGCGTCGGGCTGTGTTCCTCCCTCTCTCTCCCTCTCTCCTTCCCTCCCTCTCTCTCCCTCTCTCCTTCCCTCCCTCTCTCCCTCCCTCCCTTCCTCCCTATACTATACACTATACTGTCGGGCCAATGGCGCTTGGGGGCTATGAAGGGAAGGGGTAGCGGGGCAAAATATATACGGGAAGGACCTGTGTATATGTATATGTGTGTGTGTGTGTGTGTGTGTGTGTGTGTGTGTGTGTGTGTGTGTGTGTGTGTGTGTGTGTGTGTGTGTGTGTGTGTGTGTGTGTGTGTGTGTGTGTGTGTGTGTGTGTATGTGTGTGTGTGTGTGTGTGTGTGTATGTGTGTGTTATGGTACAGATATATATATGTGAAGAGACGCCGGGAGGATGAAGAGAAATAAGGCTGTCTGTTTGTCTGTCTATTTATGTCTCCCTGTCTTGTCTGTTCGACTCAGCTCTTGTCTATGTCTGATTCTGTGTCTGTCTGTGTTTCAGTTGGTCTTTCTTTTCCCTCCCTCCGTCACTTTATTTGACTTTCTGTCTATCTGTCTGTCTGATTTACTCTCAAACTCTCTACCTATCTGTCTAACGCAAACTCTCTCTATTCCTCTTTCTCTCAATTTATCATTTTACCCTTTCTCTCTTAATCTCTCTCAATTATCACATATCTCTCACCATTTCCAGACGTAACCCTCTCTACTCTATCTCCTCATCTTTCCATTATCTCTCTCTGTTTACATATCTCCAGTCTCTCTCTGACACAGACAAAGGACTGAACACAAACACCCAGAGATCTCCACCTCAATAGACTCTCCAGCGTATAATACATCAGCTGATTGGATGGCATCGCGCATCAGCTGATTCAATGACGTCATACATCAGCTGATCGAACAAAAGCAAAACAAATATACATTGACACACTCGTCAAGGTTAATGGTTTATGTATTATTCCTAAAAAAAACAATAACACATATATCGTGATTGAAAGTGTGTGTGTGTGTGTGTGTGTGTGTGTGTGTGTGTGTGTGTGTGTGTGTGTGTGTGTGTGTGTGTGTGTGTGTGTGTGTGTGTGTGTGTGTGCGTGTGTGTGTGTGTGTGTGTGATCTTATCCACTAAGCAGAAATAAAGGAGGAGGAGGGATATGCAGAAAAGTATAGCAGTGTGCAGACGAGGAGGAGGAGGAGGCAGAAGAGGAAGAATAAAAGGAAGAGGAGGGGAAGAAAGAAGAAGATATGCTGACGAGTGTAATATTGATACTAAGAAGAAGAAGAAGAAGAAGAAGAATGTAACAGTGTATAGAAAAAGTTTTACGATTGAGGAGGTTGAAGGTGAATCCTGAAGAGACGGAGGTGAGGGTGAGAGAGAGAGATGAGACACTGATGGAGGTAGACGGAGGGAGGGGGAGGGGCAGGATGAAGGACTGAGGTAAGAGACAGGGTGAGGGACGGAGGTAAGAGGGTGAGGGAACTAAGAAAGAAGGAGGGAAAGAGGGGAAGGGAAACACCACCCTATCCCCATCATAGTACAGATAGGTTGGGGTGGATGGCGGTGTGTGTGTGTGTGTGGTTTAGTATTCACGGCCACAATGGAAGCTATTGAGAAGGTATGGTGGGTCCATTGTGCTGGGGGAGGAGGGAGGGGTCGGCCTAAGCCCTCCAGTACACAGGGGTTTAACCATATAGACGGAACATTCAATACGTCACACCGCGGCCAGACACCCAAGGTAAACATGCTGCCGGGAGAACTCTTAACTGAAGCGTTTAAGGTACGATATCCTGGGAGGGGAGGGGTAGGATGAATATGTATCCCGCTGCCAGACGTAGAATGTATATTTCAATAATTAATCATTCCGTGGTTTTAATGCATTATTTTGTTATTTCATTGAGTAAATAATAAACGAGGGATAAATATAGTGCATTTTTTTCCTCAGAGGATTACAACACTTACTTTACGAACTATATAATGAAGGTCTTATTTTCCAGACACTTCTTTCCAACTATTTTTCGGTACAAATTTAATCTCGTGGAAAGTTTCACCAGTTTTGTGAGACAGAGTTAAATGAAGCTACCATTCTCATCATTCATCCATCTTCCCGGTACACTATTCATCTTCCCGGTTCTACATAGTTTATCTTCTCGGTTCTACACTGTTCATCTTCCGGGTACACTGTTCATCTTCCGGGTACACTGTTCATCTTCCGGGTACACTGTTCATCTTCCGGGTACACTGTTCATCTTCCGGGTACACTGTTCATCTTCCGGGTACACTGTTCATCTTCCGGGTACACGGTTCAACGCAGCTGAAACTGGTACCCTGCTGACACCCAACACATCCAACAGGTACTATACACCATACATTAATATAGGAGAGAGAGAGAGAGAGAGAGAGAGAGAGAGAGAGAGAGAGAGAGAGAGAGTTTTTGTTAGATACAGTCATACCAGATTCCTACCTCATGATACCTATTGCGTGTATACCAGGCAGACAAGGGGGTACTAGTGTATATTGATGGTGTATAAAATTGAACATTATATCAATTTTATTCACTTGTTCATTAAAGTCTATTCAGGAAAACATATAAAGCATTAATTTATTCCATTTCAGTAATAAATTAGAGTTTGTATGTAAATATTAACGGTAATACAATTCATTTGATGTCCACATGAATTTATTTCATATCCACACGAATTTATTGTGTGTATGTTTCATTCTCACTCTTCCTCCTCACACGACTATTATTCCTTCCTTTCTATGTCCGTAATTTATTAGCTTGTTTGTGTGTCCGTCTGTCTCTTATTCCTCTCCTTGATAGTCCGTCCAGAGAGTCACACAAACACATTAACGTCACACAAGAGGCGTCCGGTACGACACGCTCAATCACGGCGCCCGGCAACATAACAAGTGTGTGTCGGCCGTGACGTCATTACTAAGGTGGCGGGCCATTGGTTGTTGTGAGAGATACCGACCAATAACAATACAATAGTAAATTTGTTCTTGTATTTTATTGTAGTGATGTTGGAATTGTTACTACTACTACTACTACTACTACTACTACTACTACTATCACCTTACCCCCTCTTCTTCTTCCTCTTTACCTCCCCCTCTTCTTCCCCCTATTCACCTCCACTTTCTTCTACCCTTCATCCCATCTTCTTTCCTCCCCCACCTCCCCTCCATCCCCTATTCCTCACCTCTCTCCTCCCTTTGTTTCTCCTCCCAAACCTTCTTATCTTCCTCTTCCTCCCCCTCACCTCCTCCTCCAAACACCTCCCCCTCGTTAACTCAAGGAAGCCAATAGGTCACACTCGGAGCAACACACAGCCTGACACAGTTCACTCCAACTTAAGCAGGAGCTGAGGTGGAGGAGCACTTGAGGGCTGGTCTTAGGTGAACTCTACGCGTTTCAGGGCCTCGGGAAATAATGCTTAATATTGTATTGACTTTTTTGATTTTATTATTAATTTATTTTATTGATATTATACACAACATAACATACACACACATACAGTACATACACACACAACACAATATAACAGACACACATACGTAACAGACAACACACACACACACACACACACCATCTGTGAGGGAACACCACGTGAGGTACCTCCTAACACCATCTGGGAGGGAGTTACTTCACTACGTGTCTGCTGTTCAACACCTCAGCACACATGATCTACGTGACCTCCACTGTAAACATTAATCTGTATGTTCACTGTATGTTCCTTTACATTTCTCTAATGAAGGCTTTTGTTAAACCACCAATGTATGTAATGAGTCATTTATGTCCAATGTATATTTTCAGCCTTCGGACTGCAAAACTTTTTCAATAAACCGTTTATTATTATTATTATTATTATTATTATTATTATTATTATTATTATTATTATTACACACAAAAATCCTAATAAATGAAACGGGGCGAGTACTATCCATAGAGTTTGCACCACCACTGTGATCGTGACTTCCAAGTGTGTTTAGAAGTGCGTTAAAGTGTGTCAAGTGATGCTTAGTGTATAGATAAGTGTGTTAGTGTGTGTCAGTTTGATAAGTTAAAACGAACTCCATAAATTAACATATATCCCAAGGTTTAACATACTGGATATACCTGTATATTTATTGTTAATGTATATAAAGTAACACTATATTAACTATATTGTATGAATGATATTACACACACACACACACACACACACACACACACACACACACACACCTCCTTCTCCACCCAGTCGAGTATTTATTCACCTTGACAATTAGAACTCACAATACCCAGAGGTACCGGGTATAGGGTGAAGTTAAGACCCCCATAAATACTCCAGTGATCAATACCTTTTTACTTAAGTCCCTCCTCCTCCTATGTCATGTTCCTCGTTTTCTATTTGATTTTATTCGTGTTCGCTGGAGAGAGAGAGAGAGAGAGAGAGAGAGAGAGAGAGAGAGAGAGAGAGAGAGAGAGAGAGAGAGAAAGAGAGAGAGAGAGAACTAGCTCCATGAATGAAATATGAAGACCTTTTATCTCTCCTTCTCTCTCACCTCTCTCTTACCGTCTCTCATCTACCTTCTCCTTCCCACTCAATTCTCTATCTTTCTTCTTCCTTCTTCCACTCCTTTTTTCCCTCTCACCTCAACTCCCTTACCTCTCCCTTCTTCCCTCTCACCTTACCCACTCTACCTTCCTTCCCTCTCACCTTACCCACTCTTCCTCCTTCCCTCTCACCTCTCCCACATACAGGTCACGTAAACGAGATCTGCACTCAGTACGGCTCATGAATTCAGGATAGATGGGACTCCCTTGTGGCCGCTGACAGACAGATAAACAGACAGACAGGCGAATGGACAGGAGGACGGATAAACAGACAGAAGAAGCAATTAGACAGGTGGATATATAGACAGACGAATGAATGGACCTTAAACATTATTATTATTATTATTATTATTATTATTATTATTATTATTATTATTATTATTACAGGTTACTCATCTAACTTCCCGTTTAAGTGAGACACGATAGTATGGTGTATGGTGTATGGCAGTATGATGTATAGTGTATGGCAGTATGATGTATAGTGTATGTCAGTATGATGTATACAGTATGATGTAGTGTATGTGTCTTGTGTATGTATGGCATTATGGTGTATGAGAGTATGATGTAGATGTATGGTGTATAGTGTATGTCAGTATAACGAATAGCAGTATGGTGTATGAGTATGGTGTATAGCCGAGTCACTTCCAGGTGGTGAGAGACGAGGAGACGAGAGACAACTTCTATGACTCTTATTTACAACACGACACACACTCTCTCTCTCTCTCTCTCTCTCTCTCTCTCTCTCTCTCTATCTATCTCTCTCTCTCTCTTTCTCTTTCTCTCTCTCTCTATCTCTCTCTCTTTATCTCAGCTTCGGGAATATTTTTACGTCATTATCTTTCTTTTTCTTCCTTTCTTTTTTGTCCAATGGATGGTTTAAAGAGAGAGAGAGAGAGAGAGAGAGAGAGAGAGAGAGAGAGAGAGAGAGAGAGAGAGAGAGAGAGAGAGAGAGAGAGAGAGAGAGAGAGATATATTTACTCCTCTCACTTCACCATCATTCATAACAGGGGTCGGGAGGTGAAGAGGGGATGACAGGTGAGAGGTGAGAGGGTGAGAGTGAGAGAAGGTGAGGGAGTGAGAGGGGATGAGAGGAGAGAGGTGAGAGGGATGAGGGGTGAGAGGAGGGGGATCCTCATTAACAGTATTACATTATCACTTCCCCCCTCACAACTTTTCTGCCAGTCGACAATATATCACCCACCCAGTCACCCACCCAGTCACCCAACCAGTTAATCAGTCAGCCTGCCAGTTAACCAGTTAGTCAGCCAGCCAGACAGTCAGCCATTCAGTAAGCCAGCCAGCCAGCCACAGTAGGACGGAGACAATACAATGGCTGTGGGAACATTAAGAGACAGGAAAGTGTCACACTGTTGATATATACGGCCACTACCCGCCACTAACTCCACCTACCGACGTCTACGGGAACTACTAAGGTGTCAGCAACCGTAAACACCATCCCGGGAACACTGGCAATGGCTACTGCATCTCCCCGGGACAAACACACGACAGAGGCACGGTGTTGTGTTCGCTAGCGGCCATCTTTGTCATCTTGGAAGACCTGACGCCATCTAGTGACTGACTAACGAGCTAACACGTCATCAGGGGTCTACTAACCCCATCTAGTGACTGACTAACGAACTAACACGTCATCAGGGGTCTACTAACTCCATCTAGTGACTGACTAACGGGCTAACACGTCATCAGGGGTCTACTAACCCCATCTAGTGACTGACTAACGAACTAACACGTCATCAGGGGTCTACTAACCCCATCTAGTGACTGACTAACGAGCTAACACGTCATCAGGGGTCTACTAACCCCATCTAGTGACTGACTAACGAACTAACACGTCATCAGGGGTCTACTAACCCCATCTAGTGACTGACTAACGAACTAACACGTCATCAGGGGTCTACTAACCCCATCTAGTGACTGACTAACGAACTAACACGTCATCAGGGGTCTACTAACCCCATCTAGTGACTGACTAACGAACTAACACGTCATCAGGGGTCTACTAACCCCATCTAGTGACTGACTAACGAACTAACACGTCATCAGGGGTCTACTAACCCCATCTAGTGACTGACTAACGAACTAACACGTCATCAGGGGTCTACTAACTCCATCTAGTGACTGACTAATGAACTACCACGACCTCGGGGGGGGGGGTGGCACCACTGCCATCTAGTGACTCAGTAAGGAACTATTTAGTCATGGGTAGCACGCATCTATAGGGAATTGGACAACTTTACACTAGGAGCCGCCATTTTGCATACCTCTCGCAGTGAACTGTCTTGTATATAAAGCTTTATTTTCTCAGGTTCTCATTACATTAGGCAATCACATACAACGTAACCAGATGACGTCACACACACACACACACACACACAGATGTTCACAATTGTAGCAGAATTCAGAAATATTAGCATTGTTAAAGCCTAAATCACCAAACAGACTGACAATTACACACCCAGATAGAGAGACACAATCAGACAGACAGACAGACAAACATATATACACCCAGACAGACAGACACCCACCCATACACCCAGACAGACAGACACCCACCCATACACCCAGACAGACAGACAATAGTACCCACTCTCAGGCAGGAAGCAGGCCTTGGTAGCAGCGGCCTCCATGATCAGTCTGGCCACTATCAGCAGGTGAGCCACAAGCAGGTGTAGAAAGGGCGCCGTGGGACCACCGTGTAGCCAGGCGCCCCTCACCACGCCCCCAGCAGCGCCAGGGAGGGGAGGAGGGTCGCGGGAACAGCTACCGTCCTGTACACCCATCCGATAGCCGTCGTTGGCGTAGTTACCGATCTTGAACACCGACGCCCCGAAGAAGAACACGGAGAGAACGGCTGCTGCTCCTACCAGCCCTGGGGGAGGAGGGGAGGAGACATTACTGGGGAGATAAGAGATATTAATGGGGAGATAAGAGATATTAATGGGGAGATAAGAGATATTAGTGGGGAGATAAGAGATATTAGTGGGGAGATAAGAGATATTAGTGGGGAGATAAGAGATATTAATGGGGAGATAAGAGATATTAGTGGGGAGATAAGAGATATTAATGGGGAGATAAGAGATATTAATGGGGAGATAAGAGATATTAATGGGGAGATAAGAGATATTAATGGGGAGATAAGAGATATTAATGGGGAGATAAGAGATATTAGTGGGGAGATAAGAGATATTAATGGGGAGATAAGAGATATTAATGGGGAGATAAGAGATATTAATGGGGAGATAAGAGATATTAATAAGGAGATAAGTGGGGAAACATTAATGGGAGATAAAAGGGGAGATAAGACACGTTAGTGGTGAGACAAGAGGGGAACTAAATGGGGAGATAAGAGAGATAAGAGGGTACTTAAGAGATATGTAGGGAGATAAGTAGAACTATCTCCCACATTAATTATCTCCTAAGCACTATAATCACCTATAACTTGGCGCTATTATCGTAATTATTTTCTAATTATTTTACTATAACTTTGTCTCCTATACAACTAAATTATGTCTAGTGTAATGCGTTAGTGAGGCACCACAATACGGGCTAATTACGCTAAATAGCAGCCAATAACAGTCAAAAACAGTCAATAACAGTCAATAACAGTCAATAACAGTCAATAACAGTCAGTAACAGTCAATAACAGTCAATAACAGTCAGTAACAGTCAATAACAGTCATTAACAGTCAGTAACAGTCAGTAGCAGTCAGTAACAGTCATTAACAGTCAATAACAGTCAGTAACAGTCAGTAACAGTCAGTAACAGTCAGTAACAGTCAGTAACAGTCAGTAACAGTCAATAACAGCCAATAACAGTCAATAACAGTCAATAACAGTCAATAACAGTCAATAACAGTCAGTAACAGTCAATAACAGTCAGTAACAGTCAATAACAGTCATTAACAGTCAGTAACAGTCAGTAACAGTCAATAACAGTCATTAACAGTCAATAACAGTCAGTAACAGTCAGTAACAGTCAGTAACAGTCAGTAACAGTCAAACAGTCAGTAACAGTCAGTAACAGTCAATAACAGTCATTAACAGTCAACAGTCAGTAACAGTCAATAACAGTCATTAACAGTCAATAACAGTCAGTAACAGTCAGTAACAGTCAGTAACAGTCAGTAACAGTCAGTAACAGTCAGTAACAGTCATTAACAGTCAATACCAGTCAATAACAGTTAATATCAGTCTAACAGTCAGCAACAGTCAATAACAGTCAATAAAAGTCATTAACAGTCAATAACAGTCATTAACAGTCAATAACAGTCAGTAACAGTCAGTAAAAGTCAATAACAGTCAATAACAGTCATTAACAGTCAATACCAGTCAATAACAGTTAATATCAGTCTAACAGTCAGTAACAGTCAATAACAGTCAATAAAAGTCATTAACAGTCAATAACAGTCAATAACAGTCAATAACAGTCAGTAACAGTCAATAACAGTCAATAACACTTCACTCCAACCTTGCCTTCACCTTACCCTCCGAATCACTCCTAGATGATATTGCAACAACCATCCTTCAGTTATTGCAACACTGAGGTGAGAGAGAGAGAGAGAGAGAGAGAGAGAGAGAGAGAGAGAGAGAGAGAGAGAGAGAGAGAGAGAGAAATGTTTACGGTAATGTTGTTCCAATATTTACGGTGTTCTGATGTTAAAACTGGATGTTCTAAGGTGATGTTAATTAACGTTATCACCTGATGTTTTGACAATGTTACCAGGTTATGTAATACGATGTTTTGATCTAGTGATGTTTGACCGTCAGGATGTTGAGTGGGATAATGAACGTGAAAATGATATGATGTTGTAATGTTATGTGGTGTTATGTGATGATTATGTGATGTTACGTGATGTTATGTGATGTTT